CCCTTGGGTTAAGGTGGTCTACGGCTCTTGGTGTTCGGCGGTGATTCCATTTGGAGAGTTGCATATCCCAGTACCGGCAATGAGACACTTGACCTATGTTGGTAGTGCGTCTCTCTTCTTTGTGAAGGTTTAGGGTTCTTTGATCGTTAATGCGGTTGCTGCTCAAACCCGGTTTCGTGTTTCCTTCTTGGCATAAGTGGTGATAGTGTATAATAGCGGTTCGGGATCACCTTCAGGTAAGAGCATTTTTGGAACCTTTTATCACTTTCGCTTGCACTTTACGAATGGTGATGATTACAAGAGTAGACAAGCTTGTCGGGAGCAAGCTACTCCGGAGACGACATGGGAAGACCCCGGCAACCGAGGAAATGAGGGGAATTTCTCCTTCCTATAGTCATCGTCATGGTAGAGAACGGTAAACGACTCTCGAAAATTATGACTCAAATCTAGTGGAACGCAGCGGGACATAGATCGAGTGAAGCTAGTTAGGAATAGTTTGATTCGAGTTGTTTTGTGCGAGTCGATGCTTGTAATCAAAATCTTATTCCCATTCTCGGATTGATATAAATATAGATCTATATATTAAGAAAAAAAAATGTATCTGTAATTATTAGTTTTTCACTAACTACCCGTTAAAACCTAATTTTGATTTATTTAAAACCTACACTACACGTGTAAGTGAAAAACAAATATTTGCTTAATTTTATAAGTAGCATATTTTATATCATTTAACTTATATTGAAAATAAACTTCTGTTTTTAATTTTCACCAACTAGCTTTATTATACAGATTAAGAAAATTATTGTAGAAGTTAGTATATATATGAATTGAGGCTTTAAGTACTTTTTATCAACTTTCTTTTGTACAAAACTATTTAGATTAATTATGGAGACTCTTCTATATTAGCACACTCGCATACATACCCAAAAATGTTGGGATTAGATACCAATAATAAGATAGACCTTTGATCATTTTATTCTCCTACAATTCTCAATTTTTCTTAATTTTTTTTTGCCAGATAATTTGTCTTAATCTCTAACTACACCTAATATTTTGACATTTTATGATATACTCACATACGTAAAAACTTCATTTAACTATATATTCATACTATTTTCAACATTGCAGCTACCACACCGTTAATGTCAATCTATAATCACAGAGGTTTAATAATAATAGTAGTATCATATTTAAAATGGAATATATTAGAAAACGAATGAGAACCGTAATGCAGTTTAGTGTGACTAATGGGGGTCAATAATATTCCTCAGCCAGTTGAACAGATTATAAACGAACAGTAGCCAGTAGCCACAGCCACATTTTCCTAAAGCGGTCATTTCAATTTACTCGCTCTGTTTTAGATTAAATATTTTGTAGAATAAAATTTCTGTTATGAAATAAATATCGTTTCATGATTTCAATGTAGTTTTCTATTAATTTATCTCTTTTCTTACTAATGAAATTAAGAAATCAATACTAGTAGATATTATGTGATTTTAACAGATATATAAAGGTAAAACTGAACATTTAATTAGTTTTTTAATTCATGTGTAAAATTTTAGAAAAAGAAGGGAGTATTAACTATTGAGTATTAACATACGTGTGAATAATGGCGTTCCTTATTCAATGTACAGTCGCTAGCTGAGAGAATACTTAAATTGAAGCAGTATTTATTAACTGCTGTGGTGGCCATTGGCCGTATATATAGTAATAAAAGAATCTCCAAAAAATTCTCAATTTTAAAGTTTCTAAAACTCTATATTTAAAATTTCAAGATATTCTTCTTCAAAATAAAAACTTCAAATTTAACTTTAAAACTAGATTTTGACCCGCTCAACCGAGCGGGGTTTAAATTTCATTTATATATATTTGTTTATATTATTATGTGTATATATATTTTAAATATTAATCATATATTTAAATATTTATTAATTTTTCTTTTGTTTTGTCAACCAAATGGTTATTTATTTATGTATATTAATTTTAGATGATATATTGTTGTATATATAAAAATTTAAGATATATTAATTTGTATACATGTAATACATAGTATGTTAGCCCGCTTTGACAACATAATATATTATTTTAACATAAATATTTCTATTTATGAAAAAAAAATATATTAATATATCATTTTAATTTAGTTTTATCATATTTAGTTCATTATAATAATTATGTTAATATGATAAATTATGATTATAAGATAAATAAAATATGATAATTGTTTTTATTTTTCATTTTTAACAATAACTAAATATATATTGAGGCATAATAATATTTTTAAACATTAAAATTTTGTAGGTTATAGGATAAATATTATCAATAAGTTAATAAAATTAGATCTTATATATTATCTAATTTTATAATAATGTTTGTGTGATTTATAAATTAGTATTTTTTTAATTTACTATTTTTTTTTATTTATAAATTTGAAATATATGTGAAAATTAAATTAACTTGGACCTACATAATAGAGAAAACAAATTTTTGGATACATTAAAAATGCATAAGATTTATAATTATTTGATGATAATTAAAATTTGAAATAACTGATTTTCGAAATATATTTCTAAAAGATTTTAAAATATTTCTAAAAGATTTTGTTAGAATCTTTTTCCAAATATTTATTTACATTTCCAATAAAAATAAGATATGAAAAGATATCATAATTAACATATGTAAAATTTATAAATATGGTCCAAACTAAAAAATCACACATAAAGTGAAATGGTGACTTCTGTTTTAATATATAAGATTATTTATAATTAACATTTTGATTCTTATATCTGTCATAGTTAATATAAATTCATAAAACATTGATAAATAACATACATATATATATATATATATATATAAATTATACAACAATATTAATTAATAAAATCTTACACTAAAATATAAAATTATAAATACAAATACATGATTGTTACAAATAGAATACCATATTTTTGTTGTCTAATTTTAATTTTAAAATATTTAAAAATACTAAACTACAAGCAACTATTTTAAATTTTATTATAAATATTTATTTAGTATTATGTCTAAAACTTAAATTTATAAAATGTAAAGTTTAATTTGAAATATTTATAAGATTTAAAAAGTTTTATGAATTAAAACAATAAACAAAAAAATATTTATGAATTCTAATTTTTATTTGTAATTGTAAGGACCAAAATGCAATTAAAAAGATGAAACTTCAAATTTAGAGTTTTGAGTATTGAAACTTCAAATATAGAGTTTTATTCTTAAAAATTTCAAATTTGAAGTTTTGAGGTTTTTTTTTAAAGCAAAAAACTCTATATTTGAAGTTATAGAATTTCTTTTGGAAATATTCTAAGTATTACAAAATAAAGTGTTCTCTTAATTAGTTATGATGGCGTGGAATCCAATATGACAGTATAACCAATATATATATATAGAGTTATATGGGTTCTGTACATACTCTTCATATAAATTTGATTAGGTACTTGTTTTATGTTTAATCAAAATTAATACCTGACCCACTCGTATTAAAGTAAATTACATCACATGGCATTACAGCCATCTTAGTCACGCCTTCATGCCCTTTTCCATCTCGAGAAGGAATCAAAAAGCTTAATCTGACATTTAATTATGAAACTAATTGAAAGAGATGGCTTAATACCTTTGTCCACGAAGTGTGAATCTCGTGTTTGTTTTTATTACTCCCATTGTACTCGAATTATTTACAGCACGTGTAATCAAATACATCGACGCAATATATCTAGTAGTTTTTATATTATTTTTGTTTTCTTGAAATTAATCAAAGCTTTTAGCAATCACTCAATCAGTAACATTTTTTTTTTGAAAAATCAGCAACATTTTTGAACCCTAAGTTTTATCAGTTTCTCTATATAGACATAATTAGAAAAATTTCTAACCAGACTTGTAAAAACATAATCGAACCTTCACAAAGCAACGTTTTTTTTTTTACGAAGCCTTCACAAAGCAACGTTGTTTTGATTAATAGAAAAGAAGTGTCTTCTCAGAAGACTAACAAGTCTTTTAATAATATACAACAAACCTACTACCATATAAACAATATATGTGTGTGTTTTTTTTTATAACTTCAATATATGTGTTTTGCGCTTAATAAATTATAGCTTATACTGATCGATCAGGAGTTTTTTTTTTTGCCAAATGTGTTTCGAAATTTGAATAGCTTTTTGTACACATAGTTCTGTTACAGTTTAATTAGATCCGAATATAATATTCATAATTATAATTGTGAGTACACGAAACCAAAATATCTTTTAAACGGAATATTTAAATAATTCTGTCTATGCATATATATGTCAAAACAACATTTTTATATGGGCTGTATCCGATCGAGTGTCAATATCGGACTCTGTTTCTCAATTTTACCAATCAGATATACCAAAGAAGAAAAAACGAAACTCTATGAAAAAGGAAAAAGAATAGATGCTAAGTTTCATATATATGACGTCACGCTAACCCCCAATTTTGTTTGGAGGAAATAAAAGTGAAAGATGGGCAGTTCAGAAGTTACGAGGCGACGCACATGCACGAAGGTCGGGCCATATTAGACGTGAAAAGTAAAAAAAAAAAAATCAACGAGTGCCATCTGCCATGCAGTTATATATATTCTTTTATTTTAATAAATACGTAACTTTTATTAATGTGTGAAAAGAATACACATATTAAACCATGTTGTTTTTTTGGTCGAAAAAAAAACATGTTGTTTTTATCTTTCGTCAAAGGGTGAATCTCAATAATTTTATTCTTATATTTTTGTTCCATGGACCCCTTTCCATCATTCATTTATTACAACCAAATAGCATTATATATATTTTCTACTGTTTTCCCTTATGAAATGCCAAAGAAAAGATACATATTTTCTAATAATTTTTTCTTATAATATAAAAAAAGAGAGAAAAAAAAAGATTGTGGAGGAATATTAATACAAGCCCACTTCACATCTATTTTTGTGCAACCCTCTTTTCTAAAGCTTCTCTCTCACAATGGAAACCATAGACAAGAGTGCTTCTCAAGTAACCTTAACCTCCTCCGCAATCTTCACCGTATCTTCCTCCTCCTCCGCCTCATTTTCCTCATCTACAACATCTTCTTCTTCTTCTTCATCAACAACAACGTCTAACTCTAAAAGAAAACCATCTCCAAGATCATTAGCCGCTCAAGAAGACGATGATAAGGCCTTAAAACGGCGAAAGATCAGCGGCGGAGATAAGCATCCGACGTATAGAGGAGTACGGATGAGGAGCTGGGGAAAATGGGTGTCGGAGATAAGAGAGCCGAAGAAAAAATCAAGAATCTGGCTCGGAACTTATCCAACGGCTGAGATGGCAGCTCGAGCTCACGACGTAGCATCTTTAGCCATTAAAGGTACAACGGCTTATCTCAATTTTCCTGAATTATCCGGCGAGCTTCCACGTCCGGTCACCAATTCTCCTAAAGATATTCAAGCCGCTGCCACCGCCGCCGCCGTGAATTGGCAAGATTCCGGCGTAAATAGCCTCCGGGTGAATAGTTCTGAGTTAGCTGAAGCCGAGCCGAGTCGAGTGGTGATGGCTCAGTCGTTGTCAGGTAGTGTGGTGTTTTCTTCGGACATTAATACACAAGATTTGTCGGAAACTTCGTGTGCCTCGACGACGTCGTTTGCGGACAAAGACAAGGAGGAAGAGAAGCTGTTTGATTTGCCGGATTTGTTTACCGATGAGATGATTATACGAAACGATGCGTTTAATTATTACTCGTCCACGTGGCAGCTATGTGGAGCTGATGCTGGGTTTCGGCTTGAAGAGCCGTTTTTCTGTCTCAATGACTAAAATCACACTCCAGCTCACTAACACCTAATTAATTAGAGTACCCCCTTTTTCTTCTTCTTTATTTAAAAAAAAAAAAAAATCTGTTTGTCTTCTTCTTCTTTTTTTTTTTCTTTTTTTTTTTCTGTTTGAGTGTTAGTGATTCTTCTGTATAGAAACGAGTTCCTTTTGATTTTCTTTTGGGTTTTTAGCAAAAGGGTGTTTGATGAATTATTTGTGTAATATAAATGTGGTGATAACATTTCTCTTAGAAAAAGAAAGCCATGAACCAAAAAAAGATTCCTGATCAACAGAAATAAGAATGAAACCTAGTGGTTTGTTGACAATCGTCATAATACTCGCAAACGATGTCAGATTAATTCTTTATTATTCGCTATTAAAGACTAACTAGATTTTGAACCCTCACATCCGTGCGGGTATTTTTTCATTTTATAAAAATATAACAAAGCCTTTCAAATATATATGATTTACCTTCTTTTGTTATATATTGTATAATTATATAATCTTATAATTTAATTATTTTTATATAATATATTGTTGTAAGTTTTAAAATAAAAAAGTATTCACATATAATTTTTTATATAATGTCTTTGTTGTGAGTTACAAAAATATATGTTAACATTTTTTGTGTAAAAATATTATATGATTTTAAAACTTTAATATGTTTTAAAAGTGAGTGATATTTATTTATTTATTTGAATAAAAGAAAAATTTTAAAATAAAATATTTTCCTTTACCAATTTAATATATTTTATATTCATTTCACTTAGCATTTTATTTTAATATAATATAGAATATAACTAAGTTATAAAATAGAACAATTTTTATTTTTAATTAACATTAATATTTATATATATACAAAATTAAATATTGCACATTTTAATATATAAAAAATTAAATAATGCACATTTTATAAAAATATTTAAACTAATATCTTATTAATTATTAAAATAGTCCTCCAATTATATATATTTGATTGATTAATATATATAATTAAATATGTCATATTAATGAGATGGTCCAACATACTTTTTATAGTAGATATAAATGGTACTTCTCTTTTAATAGAGAAGATTAATAAATTTGAGTTTTAAGTTATTACAGATAATATTTGATAAAGACTTATACAATAGTAATTTAGTATATTTAAATAATTTGTTAATCTATTCCAAAGTAAGCAAATGAAATATGTCATATATAAATAAAATGAAAGAGTACTTTTGTATATTTATGTAAAAATGTATGAACTTAGCATTAGCCATGGTAATACAGAACTTAAAAGGAGATATCAGTTGGTTGACTAGTCTAGTCCTTTTCATGAAACCCCTTTTCTCTAATTGTACTGCTATTATTTGAATTTGTCCTTCAATCGACGAATAGGTGAATCATTTGGAAAAAATGTTAAAGTAATTTTAAATATGGGTTACCATTATAGTATATGTTAGTGTTCACTTGTTACCAGATTGTAACATGCATATTAATTAAAGCATGACTAATTTTTTTTTATCAAAAAAAACATGCATGTTAGTTTCTAAAAATATTAACAGGGAGATGAGCAATTACCGCAGTCACACGTAATCCACGTAATACACGTAATCCACGTTCTTGAGCTAGTTTGTAATTACTTTGTTAACTTTCTTTTCTAATTAATAATATCAACAGATATAGTGTGAGTTTTGATGAGATGATGATTATGAAACTGATAGTGAAGGAGGGGAAAATAACACGAGTCACATGGTGATGATGTTAATTCGTTTTTTTTTCTTACTTTGTTTGTTTGTCCACTTCTTTTAATGTATGTTAAAAGTGAAAAGATAAAAAAACTGTAATAAGGTGATTGCTTTTAGGCAACACCATACTTTGTTCACCACTACGAGGCAAATGAAGACTGTTACTGATTCCCAAACATATGGACCTTAGATTTGAGAGTAATAACTTATAGATAAAATATACTACTATTTTATTTACGTTTTTTTTGTCATTACATATAGCAGCAGTTAATGGCAAAATAGGTGAAAACCCACTACAGGAAACGATTCACACCTTTTCATAATAAAAAAAAAAAATTTCGTCCATTATAAAAATCTTATTTCACATCTTTGCAAATATAGGATTTCGCCCATTAACTATGTATAATGGACGAAATGATTTATAATATATGAATGATTTAGTAATTAGTACCATTTCTTCATCATATATCAGTGAGTAAGGCTCAACCCAAAAACCCCAAACTAAAATAGTAAAATATTCAAACGGATATAGAGTTAAGAGAAATTGAATATCTGAACACGAATGAGTAATATCCGAACTCGAATAGATATCCAAAGATAATCGAACATATGTATACTTAACCATATATTCCTAGTTTACTTCTCGCTTTTTTGTTCAAAATATTTATATATTGATGTTACACATAGTTCAAAATCAGATAATATAATATAACTATAGAAAAAATGATTTGCTATTTACTTCAAAATTATGTCAACCTTCTTATTTCATGCGTTAACAAAAATTACATCCAAAAATGAAAACGACAACCAAATTATTATTTTTCGATTTTCAAAATTTATTTTTAAATTTATTAATCTTCCAACCTATTAAAAATATAAAATTATTTAAATTAAAAGTAAAATTTTAAGTACAAAAAAATTGAGTAATAATTTTTTTTGAATTTTTGCTTTTAAAACCCAAATATCTAAATTCAATTCGAAAGAACCAAATCCGAACTAAAAATATCTAAATCTAACCCGATATATAAAAATATCTAAATGAATATTAAATCCTAATACCAAAATAACTTAAAATCTGAAATACCGGATCCGAACCCAAATAAGCCTTGAGGAAGGAAAAGACTTTGCCTCTATTATTTTCATTGGCATTTGGTAATATTCGCATATATGTAGAGCATATATACACATGTGTGTTATGTTATTCATTTATTTGGTGAGACTTGAGGATAGTTGAAGACAGGTCATTAAATAAAAACATAGTGGGTGTAGTAGTGAGCTCACTATCGTTATCTCCATACGCAGTAATAATTATTAAATGTTGGGTTTGTTTTCTATTTTCTCATGATTTTAAGGTTTGAATGTATGTAGACAATTACACCACATATTTAAGTCTCAATTTGAGAGCAGCCCATCGATTAATAATTCAAATCGAGATTTATAAAAATATTAGTATTACCCAATAATAAGTACTAGTTTGTCAAATGACGACAGAAAATATCATATAAATGACCAAATATAATATTTCATATCAAGAAATATAAATGTAACATGTAATCGCTTGGACGATACTATGACTGACAAACTACAAGAAGGTGAAATCTGTTTGCCATCTTCTGTCATGTAAACCTAACTACGTACAGACAAATAATTAGTCCAAATTATATTTTAAAACCTACGATTCTGAAATTATATTATGGTTGCATATTATTGGAAGGTTCTACTACTGTATACTATTTACTGTATATATATTATATCTTTTTGACATCATATATATATTTCTTTGTTTCTTTATTGTGTAAATCTAATAATACAGCTAATTCAATAAAAATAAAACCCTACAGGCACGAAATATATATATAATTCTATATTTGCAACTACGGTAAATCTAATAATACATCTAATACAAAAATTTAAAACAGAACCCTATGTACGACAGATTTCAAAAAAGAAAAGAAAAAGAAAGCAAATGTGTAATGTATTAAATTATTAATAATGCGAGTCATCGCTTGCATATTTGTTAGAGCAGTTAATCAGATTTATTGATTTAAAAAGAAGAAAACTGGTCGTATGTCCTCGAATAGATTTCATTACTTGTAAACAAGGTATTACACAGGGAACAACACAGACTTAGCGAGTTATAGAACTCCTAGAAACATAACCCAGCAGTAAATAAACCTTACTCTGGAGACTAAAGCCGATAGAATTGAGAAACTTCTTTGGAAGCTACAACAAAACATAATGCACAAAGCTAAAAGTAAACCCGGCGACCACAGAAGTAGATCACAATAACTAAATGGTCCTAAATATTTATAGATTGGAAACAATTAAAAAATTAAAATTTATTACTGTAGCTGAACATTGAATTTATTACCTATATTTTTATTTTGACTTTCATTAATTATTAAACTACTTAATATTTTATTAAATTTTTGACCGATATTTTATTTAGAGTGAATTTGGTAGATACCATAAAAGACAGCAATACCATAAAAGAGAGGGAAGAAAGTGGTAAATGGGGGAGGAGAGAGATAGAGAGAAATAGGTATATCCTTAATTTTGGGGTTTTCTGTGTATAGACACTGCAAATATTCTTTTATTTAAACAAAAAAAAACAAGAAACTTATACTTCTTTAGTTTCCCCTTAGAGCCACCTTTGGTAAACACCCTAGTAAGAACAACTACTGAAAAAAGGAAGGACGACATAAGCACAGCACACACCCACAAGCAAATTTTATTAGGGGAAATGTCCCTGATCAGCTTAATTCCCAGTGGATGAATTAACTAAGTTTTGCGAATTGAACGCATTTATTATTATAAACTCCAAGTATTTAAATCGAATTGCAGATCTTCTCTCGTGAATATTGGGAATGGTGAGCTCAAATGTTTGGAGACAATATATTGAGTTAATACAGTTGTATTTGAATTATACTGCTTGATTATAAGATCCAAAAAATCATTTGTTATAAAAATACAAGTCCCACCACACAAAAAAAAAACATAACTAAAAAAACTGAGTAGTGCTAGAAGGAATCTTAATTAGATATTTTGGGTTTAACCGGTGACTAAATGAATGAAGAGGAACATTATTTTCATTACCATTCCAAAAAAATTACCATTTAGAAGGAATAGTTGTTTTTTTCCATTCTCTCTCATTATTTTTATTAGAAACTAAATTAGAACAAATTTGTTTTTCATCATTCCCATAATTCTATTTTTATTATTTTCTATTTATACCTAGTGTTCATGTGTATAATCTTGCGTTCTCCTTTTGTCAATAATGTGTTTTTTTCGTGGTTCATTTACTTTTTCAATTTCTGTCACTTTACGGAACATACATATTTTAAAAAGGAATATTTTGAGAATTATGTTTTTTTTTTGAATAAAAAATCTAATCTACAGAATAACACAAGTAGTGAGACTTACTCGTATAATTGATATTCTAAATTTAATACAAAAAATCTAATGTATTTTATTTGATACGTCTTGAAAGATTATTACATGGAAAATTGGAAATATAAAGAAAACATTAACATGTTTCTACTTATAAGATAACACCAACATAAGCGTGTCCCATTACGATATTGATAGTTGAAAACCAACTTATTCCATT